CCCCCCCCCCCCCCCAAAAAATATATATGTTGGGAGCCAAAAATCTCAGGCTACCACCAAGATCAGTAGCTGTGTACCTACCTTCAAAAAAATGTGAATTTTTGCTTAATCTTCCTTACTCCTTGAAGATTTCCTCGGGTAATATGAAAACTTTTTGCCGTCGAAATTAGAGAGGTACAAAAATTTCTCCTTCAATTTTGAAGGTTTGAAGGTTGAAGGTTCTTGGAGGTCGTTCAATTTTTTTCTCCCGATTGCTGCGTCGTTCTCTTCAACTGCTGAGAAAGACAAATGAGATTGGCTTTTTTTCTTTCCTAGGGCGTAAGGGTAAGAGGGGAAAATAGAAATTATTAACTTTTGTGATTTTTTTAAAAATGAAAAAACTGGTCAAGGGACCAAAAAAACTACCAACCGGGTCAAAGGGTTAATTGCCACTATTCCCACTTATAAGATGTTGATCATTTGAAAATATGTAGATAAAAAGTAATGTTCGATGCAAGAGTTCAATCCAATATCTTTGCTATATAATCCTATGTTTAAGCACCTCACCTACAACTTAAGTTATTAGGGAGGACATTTAATCATTGTCCTCAATGTACGAAAATACAAAGCAAAAAATAATAAATAAATCAAAAGATGGATCAGAGACTCGTCGGGGTGTATCGGAATTGGAGCCAGTGGAACTGTAGTGGATGTACCTGGCTGATCAGCTATTCAGCACATCAGCACATATGTCCAATCTCCGGGCGACCTCACCGTATGCTCGGCTAATATACCTCTGTCCAAGAGTAAGCCCCCAGAACAGTATCGACCCTGGTCCAAATGGTGGCAACGTCTGCTGTAGGGACCGTATCATCTGGTACATTCCATCTTTGTCGACCTGGTGGAAAAGAGCAACAACAGCAGTGGCCGCCTCCTGAGCTGGAGATAGATCGGTGCGGCGGGAGCTGGACAATCTGTTGGAAAAATAATTAGTTGCAGCAGTGATCAGAACAATATAATGCAGAAATATAAAACTTATCGTCCGATCGAGTCTCGT